ATAACAATTTAACCCAGGGATATTTGGTAAAAGAATTCCACAGACATCAGAATGAAAGAATGGGACATTGGCTACCCAAAGTGGGGGGAGGGGGGCTACAAAGGCAAGAAGTGACTGGCTTACAAGCTTTCAAGAGGGAACCTAGATCCAGAGGGCATGGAGAAATGTAGAATCTCCACTGAGTAGTATATAATCTGTCTGGGTGGAGCTGATGAAAGGAGATGGGGATAGGTCTCTTGTGATACAATAGTGAATAACTGTTATCAGGACTGACTGTGAGGGTTGGAAATGTTAACGGTAGACATTTTGTAGCAAAAGAAGGCGAGTGACTGATTTTGCAGTCTAGGAGCAGAGGTCCCTGGGACCATCAAGGGAAAAAAGCGGAGAGCGGGACCCTACCCAGAGAAGCAGTGACATAAGAGATGGAGGCAGAGACAATGACATGGAGAGATAGAGCAGCTGGGGACTTTAGACCCAGAGGGGCAGATGGTCTGTGTGCTGACGACCGGGGGGCAGGCTTGTAGGATATATCCTTTGGTTGATGATACATGGAGGGGACTGTAACCATGGCAATGAAACAATGTACAATAGGATGAATGTAAAACTAATGTTCTCCCATGTAAACTACCACATAATTCACAATAAAACATTAAAAAAAGATGAACAATTAAAAAAAGAATGAAAGAATGCTTTTAGGCAAAGTGTTAAAGAGAATATAATTCAGCTTCCAGATGATGACCACAGAAGTTTCCCACACACCAAACTTAAAATACTTAGGGAATATTTAAAAAACTCGCTATCAAGAAAAATAGGAACACTGATGGTACAGTGGTTAAGTGCTCAGCTGCCAACAAAATGGTCGGTGGTTCAAACTCAGTCTGCGTGAGAAAGATGCAGCAGTCTGCTGCTGTAAAGATCTATAGCCTTGAGAACCCTATGGGGCAGTTCCATTCTGTCCTAGAGGACTGCTATGGGGCAGAACTGCCTGGACAGCAGTGGGTTTTTTTAATTAAGAAAAACTGCTCAGGCTTAAATGGAGTTAGTATGGCCATGCCATGTGCTCTGATTCTAGATGCTGATGCCTCATGTGATTAATAATTTTAAAAACTGACCTCTCCTTCTGAATAGTCAAGTAATTTGGGGCAAGTTTCTCTACTATCAATTTTTAACTTAATTCATTGGAAAACGATAGAAACAATTTTAAAAGATGAGAGGAACAAAGCAGAAACTACTGCTACAAAACCATAAAAACTTTATTAAACAAAAATATCATAACGTAGAGCTACTGTTTCTTGACTTACCCTCCCTCTAGGTCTATACACTTCTGAAGGTGATGTTTCTCTCTCTCTAATCCTTCCCCCAGAGAATTCTGTAACTCTTTGATTTATACACTAAAATGGCAGTTTTGGCATCCTTCAGGGGCTCAAAATTATATTTCTTTGAAATGTTCTTTGAGTTTGTGGAACAAAAAATTCACCGCAAGGGGCAAAGTCAGGGCTTCAGGGTGGGTGGGGTAAGGTTTCCCAAGGAAATGAGCACAGAACAGCCCTTGTTACCCTGGAAAAATCAGCAAGTGCATTGCTGTGATGGAAAAAATTCCTTGGCACCCTTTCCTGACCTTTTTCTCACCAATATGATTTTCCATTTTCTTCATAATAAGCCCTTGTAACTGTCCTGTGTCTTTCAAGAAAGTCTATCAAGATTGTTTTTAGGTACCATCAAGTCAACTCACAGTGACTCTATGAATGAAGCACAGCTGGTCCTGTGCAACCCTGAACATCTTGCCTGTGTGTGAGCCCCATGCTGTAGCCACTGTGACACTCCACCTTGATGAGAGTCTTCCTCTTCTCTGTTGAGCCTTTACTCTACCAAGGACTGCTCCCTCCTGACTATCGGGACTACTGATTTGGAAGACTGAAAAACAGTCGCTGTAACTTTTTTTTTAAAATATGGACACTTCATGAATTTGCATGTCATCCTTGCACAGGGGTCAAGTTACACATAGACAGAGAGATAGATCTGTAGAGTCAGAAAGGAAATTACTGGTTATCTGGTGGTGGTATTTGGAAGGCAATGGGAATGACTACAAACAGGCTTTGGGTTTTCTTTCTGGGGTAATAAAAACATTCTAATATTGATTATGGTCATGGCTGCACACCTCTGCCAATATACTAAAAATCATTTATATTTGAATTACATCTCAATAAAGCTGTCATATATATATATATGATGGTGGTGGTTATGTGCCGTAGAGTTGGTTCCGACTCATAAGTGACCCTGTACAGGGTTTCTGAGGTTGTAAATCTTTATGGCAGTAGAAAGCCTCATCTTTCTCCTGCGGAACAGCTGGTAGTTTTGAACTGCTGACCTTGAGGTTCGCTGCCTGATTCATTACCACTATGTTACCAGAGCTCATCATATATAGTCATATATATAGATACATGTAAAGACTATCAAGCAACATCTTCCTCATGAATGTGGAAACACTGATTCCAGATGAAGAATGAAATCATGTTTAAGTAGAATGGACCCACCACTCGTCTATCAGTTTGCTGTTACTGTGGTGACATGCGTGTTATTGTGATTCTGGAGGCTCTGCCATGGGTATTTTAAATACCAATAGGGTCACCCACTCTGGACAGGTTTCAGCTAAGCTTCCAGATGAAGACAGACTAGGAAGAAGGAGAGACGAACTACTTCTGAATAGTTACTGAAAACCTTATGGATAGCAGTGAAACACTGTCAGCACCAGATATTAAAACATGATGAAGAGAACCAGAATACTGTCAGATATAGTGTGGGAAGATGAGACTCTCAGATTGGAAGGCACTCAAAATGCCTCCTCAAAGTAGAGTTAACTGTGATGATGTGAATGGAGTAAAGCCCTTGGGGCACAACTCAAAATGAAGAGAAACAACTGTAAACATCCATTAATAACCAGAACACAGAATATAATAAGTATGAATCTAGGAAAACTGGGAATTGTCAAAAATGAAATGGAACGCATGACCACCAATATCCTAGGCATTAATGAGCTGAAACGGACTGGTATTGGCATTTTGAATCTGCCAGTCACATGGTTTACTATGCTGGGAATGACAAATTGAAGAGGAATGGTGTCATATTCATCATCAAAAAGAACATATCAAGATTAGTTATGAGGTACAATGCTGTCTGTGATAGGATAATACCCATATGTCTTCAGGGAAGGCCAGTTAATACCACTAATAACTCAAATATATGCACCAAGCCAGTGAGGATGAAATAGAAGAATTCTACCAACTTCTTCAGTATGTAATTGATCAACTATACAGTCAAGATGTATTGATAATTACTGCCTATTAGAATTCAAAGGTTGGAAACAAAGAGGAAGGACAAGGATTTGGAAATTAAGACTTTAGTAACAGAAACGATGTTGCAGAACGCATGGTAGAATTTTGCAAGACAAATGACTCAGTCATTACAAATACCTTTTTAAATAACAAAAAAGACAAGTATACACGTGACCCTCACCTGATGGAATACACAGAAATCAAATTTACTATATCTGTGAAAAGAGATGGTGGAAAAGCTCTATGTCATCAGACAAAACAAGGCCAGGGGCAGACTGTGGAACAGAACATCAATTACTCACATGCCAATTCAGGCTGAAGCTAAAGAAAATTAAAACGTGTCCACGAGAACCAAAATATAACCTTGAAGACATTCCACATGAATTTAGAGATCATCTCAAGAACAGATTTGATGCATTAGGCACTAAAGACTGAAAACCAGAAAAGTTGTGAGATGACATCAAGAACATCATACAGGAAGAAAGCAAAAGGTCATTAAGAAGACAAGAAAGAAGGAAAAGACCAAAGAAGAGACTCTGAAACTTGCTGTCTAGCATATAGAGATGCTAAAGTAAATGAAGTGAGGAGGCATGAAAGCTGAACAGAAAATTTCAAAGGTCAGCTTGAAAGACAAAGTCAAATATTATAATGAAATGTGCAAAGATCCAGAGTTAGAAAACCAAAAGGGAAGAGCAAGCTCAGCATTTCTCAAGCTAAGGGAATGGAAGAAAAAAAATTTAAGCCTCAACTCATGGTATTGAAGGATTCTTGGGGCAAAATATTGAATGATGCAGAAAGCATCAAAAGAAGATGGAAGAAATAAACACAGTCACTGTACCACAAAGAAACAGTCG